CCGCAGCCCCCTTCCCCCGGCCAGGCCCGAGGCGGCGTCCGAGCCCCGCGCAGCAGGCGCCCTCCATTTACCTTCATGTGCTTTCTGAGGGAGCTGGGGTGCGTGTAGGACTTGTCACACATTTTGCAGAGATAGGGCTTGTCGGAAGTGTGCACATGCATGTGCTTTTTGCGGTCGCTGCTGTTTGCAAAGCGCCTGTCACAGCCCTCGAATTCACACTTAAATGGTTTTTCACCTATTGCAGAGGGAAGGGGGGGAGGAAAACGGATCCGATTAAGCAGGGCCGGCTGGATCGCTCATTGTCCCCATCGCACCGCCGGACGGAAGCCCAGGGCTCCATTTCAAACACTTGCAACTTTCTAACTTCAACGAGGCTCAAATCCCAAAACCTCGCTTTTCTTCTCTGTTCTTTCCGCACCTCCGACCCCTGCTCAGCGGCCTTTGCGCGGGGGGAAGGGGGGGAGCTAAATAACTTTTTTTTTTTTTTTTTTTCCTTTGGAGGGGCGAGTTTCATTTGCAGCCCCAGTCCCGGGCACCTCTCCCTCCTCGCAACGCTCCAAGCGAGAAAGCAGGCGTGGTGGTATTTACACGCGATCCTCAGTGTCTAGTTTCCGTTTTTAGAGCTCATTCTCGTGATATTTTACGCTCCCACCCACCCCAGCCCCCTCCCCCGTATTTTCTTGCAATCTTGAAAATTATCCGGCCGGAGAATACAATGCGAGGGCAGCCCCGCAAACCCTCTGCCAAAGCGCTCGGGAAAGCGGCGCCGGCTTTCGGCGCTCGGGGGTGGGAGCGGGGGGAGAGAGCTCTCCCAGGCAGGGGCTGCTGCATTTCCACCTCCCGCGACGGGGAAAAGTTCTCAGGGATCCCGGCGCCTGCCCTCCGCACAACAATAACACACTACCGCGCCGGGCTCGGTTTATTTAAAATCGCTCCTCGGAATTAAATATTTACCAAGCCCTGAATCGCAGAAGGGAGACGGATGAGCTGCCTGCGATATTTAGCACAATATCTCACGGTGCCACAGTCAAAACTGCCGAACAACAATTAATTAAAACCTATAAATTTAAACAGGACAGGTTGCTGCGATTCCTGCCCCCCCCGCCCCCCCTCCCCGCCCTAACGATCCCAGCAGCAAACCCTGCCTTTCCCCTGCTCTGCCTCGGCAGGGATCATTCTCTTTTTGTTGCTGCTGCTGGCGTGGCTGTGACCGAGCTCGTTTTGCAGCGGAGCTTGCGAGCCTGCCTCTCCCGGAAAAGCGAGCGGCCCTGGACCGCACTCCCCTCCGCCGGTCCCCGTCCCCCCCCCAAGCCGACCCTCAGCCAAGCAGCGCCCCGGGCCCCCCGGCCCCTCCGGCCCGTCCCTGCGCCCCGCTCCGGCCCCGGCGCTCGGCGCTTCCACTCGCAGATAGAAAAGCTACAGAGAAGGTTACCGTACCTGTATGAGTTCTTTTGTGTATTTTGAGATTCTCTGATCTGGCAAACACTTTGCCACAGCCCGGGAAAGGGCAGGGGAAAGGTTTTTCACCTGTGTGGACTCTGATGTGATTTACAAGTTTGTATTTGGCCTTGAAAGGTTTCCCTTCTCTCGGACACTCTTCCCAGAAACATATGTGATTGGACTGCTCGGGTCCTCCAACGTGCTCCACCGTGACATGAGTCACCAGCTCGTGCATCGTGCTGAAAGTTTTGTTGCAGGACTTTTTGGGGTTTGACAATTGCTCGGGCTCAATCCACTTACAGATGAGTTCCTGTTTGATGGGCTGCCGCATGTACCGAAAGAAGGCCCCTGCCCCGTGGTGGGCTGCCATGTTCATGTTCATGTGGCCGTAGCCGTGCAGCTGGGTGGAGGCGTAGTGCTCGGAGCGGGGGCTGGTGACCTGGCCGTACTGGTCGGGTCTGCCGTACATGTCTCCGGAGAAGCCCAGGCGCATCTGCCCGTTCACCACGTTGGGCGACGCGTGGCTGGTGGCTTGCTCGTGCAGCCCCGGGAAAAGTATGTGTCCCGCCGCGTCGGTGTGTCCGTGGGGGCCGGCGAAGCTGCCGGCGGCGGAGGCGAAGAGGCTGTGCTGGGCGCTGGCGGCCGCCGCCTCCCCGAAGCCGCGGTTGCGGAACAGAAAGTCCCGGGTGGAGTTGAAGGCGGCGCTGGAGTAGGAGCTGACATGGGTCGGGTGGTGGTGGTGGCCCAGGGCCGCCGCCGCGTAGCCGGGCGCCTGCGAGGTGAAGGCGGTCTGGCCGGCCGAGGCCAGCTCGTGGGTGCTGGGGTTGATCTTGAAGGCGCCCATGCCGTCGGCGAAGGGGTTGATCCCCAGCCCCACTTCTCTGTCCGTGACATCGGCCGTGGAGTGGTGGCGGGAGGATCCGAAGGTAGTGACTCCTATGGCGGGATACTGCGGTCCAGCATCCAGAAGCATCTTCCCAGCGTCGATGCAGCAACCCAAAAAAAAGCACGCGCGCACACACACAACGCGGAGAGCAGCAGCGGCGGCAGCAGCGGCGGCGGCGGCGGCGAAAACACCCTCTCTGGAAAGTCAGCGACGATCACCACCAAAGCAACCACATCAAAAACACCCCCTTCGGCATCAGCGCGGGGGGAAGGAAAAAAAAAAGGGGGGGAGAAGGAAGGAGAAGGGGAGAAAAAAAAAAAAAAAAAGGAAGAGGCTGGTGCGGACGGGGGGAAGAGATCTTCGCAGTTGCAGATAATAATAATAATAAAAATGTGCCCCAAAAATATTCACTGTCTCTCTGCTTTGACTTTTCAGGGAGGCTTAAGTGGGGAGGGGGGGGTTGGGTGGGCTCAAAAATAAACTGCCTGCAAATAACAATAACGGAGAGATCAACACGGGCAGCAAAAAAACAAAACAAAAAAGAAACTTCCTTCAGTGATTTTTTTGGCTATAGGAATGTTGCAAAGTGGCCGAGAGATTGTTTCTCTCTCCTCTTCGAGCTTCCCCACACTCTCCCCGATTTTTTTGGGGGGGGGGCTTTTTTTTTTTCGCTTTGCAAAAAAAGGCGCAAATCATGCACAATATTGTCTTTTGCGGTTTATCTTCCTGGGGAGAAACTTTCACCTCCTCAGCCGGGCGGTGAACGCGAGACTGATAGCGGCAATCATTCCTGCAGATAAATGAATTGAAAAGACGACACCGTCCCCCCCCTTGATGAATGGGAGCCGGGGGCGGAGCGACGTGCGGGCGGACGTGAGCGCTCATTGGTCGGCGCCGGCTCCCCCTTCCTCGCGTAACTCCCCCCGGCCCCGCCAACGAGGGGCTCGCACGGCCGCCTCCCGCCGCTGATTGGCCCCTCCGCCTCATCAATCGCAGGTATTGTGAGCGCCCTGACATCCCTTCTGACAAACAGGGCTGCAGGAGTAGCAACTTTTTTTTTTTTTTTATATATAAAGCCTTTTTTTTTTTTTCTTCACGAAAATATTTCCAGCGCATCTTTTTTGTGTGTGTGTGTGCTAAGGAAAAAAAAGATCTTTGATTATTATTAGCGTTATTTTCTCCCCCGCTCTCCCTCTCTCTGTCCGTCTCTCTCCAGCACTCTGATAATGATGGTAATGATGATTTCTTGGTGATCCAGAATTTTTAAGATCACTGAGCAACTTTTTAGGCTTTGAAAAGAGAAGCCCTGTAGGGACTCGCTTCTTTTCAAGTTGTTTTCCGCTTGTTTAAAACTGAAGCTCTCCGAGAGTAGGTGTTGGGTGCATTTGATTTTCTTTTTAAACATCAGGCGTGATTTCTCTGGGTAGCTGACTCTATCCCTCCATCAGGTTTCTGAAATAAATCTTGTTTTCTGCACCCATCAAAACGCAGGTGGGTGAGAACTCTTAACTTTCTACTTTTGTTGTTGTTGTTTCGCCTCTTTTTTGTTGTTTTCTTTCTCCTTTCTCTCTCGCTCTTCCTTTCTCTCGCTCTCTCTTTTTACGGAGTCTCTTTCATTCAGGTAAAACTGTAAATTTCCCAAACCTACATTGTTTCTCCTCCTGCTGCATGAAATTCCCGAATACTTCTTCTCCCTCTCTCTCTCTCCCTCTCTCTCTCTTTTTTTTTTTTTTGGGAAAAAAATTTATTTAAAATCCTCGATAGGAGCAATGTAAATTTTCTGACATTCAAACCTTTTCTAGTTCACAAATCAGTCACCCTTGTCACAGTTATTGAAATTCCTCAACTTGCCACACCAGGACGGTGGAAAAAGCAGGCGGTGTCTTTGTTGCTGACCAGGCTTTTGATCGCCAGAGAAAATTTACTTACCTTCAGATGAGTGAGCAGAAAAAGAAATAACACTCCCTTTGATTTAGTTAGAAAAATGCAGACATTTGGATTCAGTGCAAACATACAACACTTGGTTGTTTTCTAGATGCAACCCTCGATTAACCTGTCTTTCCCCAGCTCAAAGTCTATTGAAAAACTGCGGATAGTTCTTTTTTGTTCTCGCTACAAAGAGCCATTGACTATACATTAAAATGATTGTTGAAAGGTATAAGTATGGTATTTAAAAGCAGAAAACCTTTGTGGCTTAATCAATTAAGCTAAGCAACATTTGTACAATATTTTAAACGATGCCTCGGCACTAAAAAAAAAAAAAAAATCTCGTGAAACTTTAAAATACAGACGTCTTTTTGTGCGTATGTATATATACACTTATGTATGTGCCCATGTGTGTGTGTACATATATGAAACTGGCAAATTATTTATTTACTCAGTCGCCTGCATATTCATTAGCTCTAATTATTTTCTAGTAACGAAAACACCAAAAGCTCGCTAAGAGTCGGACTCCTTCCATTTCGCCTTTGTGCAGCCCTTCACTTGCCTCCTTCGCAGCTCAGTCCAAGCCCCTCCAATTCCTAGTGCCAAACAAAGAAACTTTAAACTCATCCTCTCTAATTAAAGGCGCTGGTAAGCAATCCGCAGCGCAGGTACTGGGGAATCAGCAGCAGCGCTGCTGCGCGAACCCTTCTCGGGTGAGAACTGCCTCATTTCGAGAGGTATAAAAATGGCCATTGCGCCTAGAAAACAAACAAACAAACAAACAAGAAATAAACTTTGATACGCCTCGAAGGAAGGTTTCGCTGCAGTTTAGCTGCAGATGCAGTTTGCCTGTGCTCGGTGCATGGAGATCGCTTTCAAAGCAGAGGTATTATGTAATTTCCCTTGGATCTCGGGAGGCTTTACATTTTTTTTTTTTCACAATAACGCTGGGCTCAATCTGCACGTTTGCATTTATTCTGCCAATCCATTCGGATGAATTGCGATAGCTTACAGCAACAGGTATACCCGCTCTAGGAGCGCGCCTGTGTGTGAACGTAGTCTTTAGGCGGGTGTTACATTACTTTCTGTATTTGGTGCTAAAATTAAGCAGAGGACAGAGTTATCAGCGTTATTGTGAAGTCTTCAAGGCGATGGCATTAGAAGATCCAGAAAGTTAGGTAGTCCAGTGCTAGCCTGCCTCCCAGTGCAGGGGGAACCCAGTGATCATTCCAGGTCGGTGCAAAATATACGAGAAGGCAGACGAGAGGGTATTTTTAGGAAGCGTATCTAAATATACAGTGTAAGAGTGAATGTAAAAAAAAAAAAAAAAATGTTGTGGGTTGTAGAAGTTATCAAGTGGGATTTGCGGCGCGCTCTCTGCAGGAAACGAAAGCTGCTCCAGTTCAAAGCCACATGCACCAACGTGACATATAAGCCATTAAAATATCATCCTGACGGCTCATTTCTGCTTCATCATACATTCCCTAACTGCTTCCAGAAAGCAAGAAAAGAAGAAATGAAGGATGACCGCCTCGATGGAAGCGCCAAAGAGGTGGTGGGTTCTTGGGGGGGGGGGGGTTATTGTTTTCTTCTTTCATTCTTTCTTTCTTTTCCCTTACCCCTCCACCCCCAGTTTTATTTTTGCCAGTACAGAAATGAGGGGAAACCTTCAACAGGTCGCAAGGGTAAGTGCCTGGGAGCAGGGGGTGCCCGGGCAGCCCGGGCAGCCGGCTGCCCCCCCACCGCCTGCCCCAAGGGCTGGACGAGAGCTCCCTGCCCTCGGGGGGGGCCGGCGGGAGGAGGCTTGGCCACACCGGGGGAGAAGGGCTGGAGCCCCGCGGGGCGGGGGGGGGTGGGGAGCAGCCCCTCGGCCGCCCCTCGCCCACGTGGCGCCGGGCCCCCGGAGGCACCTCGGCGGGCGGGGGCGGGCGGAGGGCGAAGCG